TGGGAGGGGATTGGGAGGGACTGGGATGGACTGGGAGGAACTGGGATGGACTGGGAGGGGTTTTGTGGGCACTGGGAGGAGGTTTGGAGGAACTGGGATGTACTGGGAGGGGGGTTGGCGTTTAACTGGGAGACCTTATCTTACCTGTACTGGTCCATACTGGTCCATACTGGTCCATACTGGTCGCAGGTTCCACTACGCTGCCCGCATTTGGGACGGCGTCAAGAAATCCTCGGCCCTGGCCGAGTATGGCCGCTTACTGGGCTGAACTGGGAGCACTGGGAGGCGCCCGCTGGACCAATAAACTACCTGGAAACCCCCAAAACCGCTTCGTTTTGGTCTTAATTAACGACTGGTGTTAATTAATTCTCCCTCCGAGGCATAATTAGATCGAATTAACCCCGAAATATTTAATTATTCCCGGCCCCCCCCCCTTTCCCCTCACGGTTTCGCGCGCTGCGAAAAAGGGCGGGAAAACTGAGGGAGGAAACCACGTGACCATAGAGGCGGGAGGACCGAGAGGATAGAGCGGCTCCTTGCGCATGCGCTCTAAAACCGGAAGTCCCCCTCCAAACCATAGAGCTGAGGCCTCGTTTGGCGGAGCGGCTCCCGCGCGGGGGAGGGCGGGAAATCTCTGAGGCGATTTCCGCTTAATGGCGGCTGCGGCCGCCGCCATGCCGGAGATTCCGTTCACGCGCGTCGTGTCCGTCACCAGCGCTGACCCGGTGAGTCCGTGGGGGAGAAGCTCTGGCGGTACCGGCGGGGGGGAAGAATTCCAGGCCGAAATTTTTTTTTTTTTTTGCGTTTCCGCAGCGTCACCCGGCCGAGAATTTGTTGCGGCCCGATGATGGCGGGCGCTGGCGGGGGGCGACGGCGGGGGAGAAGCAGCTGAGCGTGGTGCTGGAGGTAGGGAGAGGATGAGGAGGGGACCGGGAGGGACTGGGATGTGATTTGGGGGCACTGGGAGGGACTGGGAGAAGGTTTTGGGGCTACTGGGATGTACTGGGAGGGAATTTTGGGGTCCACTGGGAGAAACTGGTAGCGACTCCTCGATAACTTTTGATTCTCCCTGAGCACATTTGGGGTTGGCCACGTCCATTTTAGACCCCTCCAGCTTTGGGCTGAATTCCTGAAACCATCACACATTTATTTTCCCCCCCCAAAAAAAAAAAAAAATTTTTTTTTAAATTTTATTTTTAACGTGAAACCCAGCTGGGCAAACCCCAACCCATCCATTCCCTTCACGTGGGCAACGACGGCGCCGCTTTCGTCGAGGTTCTCGTGGCTTCCTCGGCCGGCGGTGAATTCCAGGTGAGCTTAAAAAAAAAACCAACCCTTTTTAAAACCTCACCTGAACCTCACCTCCAACCTCACCTGTCCCAGGTGTTGCTGCCCAGCGCTGCTCTGATGTCACCCAGCGAGAGCCGGGCCGGGGCAGAACCGAGGCGGGTTCGGATTTTTGGGCCGGATTCTTTGGTTAAAAATCCGGCTCAGGCTACCTGGGACAGGTTAAAGGTGGTGTTGAGTCAACCTTACTGCCAGGTGAGTGGGGGGGTGGGAGGGCTCAGAGTCGTGAAATTTGGGTGGTGAGACCCCCCCCACCCACCCCCCAAAATTTTGTGTCAGACTCGTCCCTACGGGCTGGCGTTCATCCGGGTGTTTGCTGCGCCCAGAGAGGACGAGGGGACGGCTGGGGGGACGGTGAGTGACCCCCGAGTGACCCCTGAGTGACCCCTGAGTGACCCCTGGGTGACCCCCGAGTGACCCTGAGTGACCCTGAGTGACCCCCGAGTGACCCC